GTGGGTAATGATGGGCGGGGCAGGGCCTGCGGGTGGAGGCGGGGCCGTGAGGGCGAGGGCGGGGCTACACAGTTAAGGGAGGGATGGGGCTGCACAGGAGGGGGAGCCCCCAGGCCACAGCGGCAGAGAGAGGAGCTGGTTACTTCAGGAGTTTACTTGGGTTTACTCAGGTAACCAAACGTGCAAACGTCCCTTTTCCCCATTTTCTCAGTAAAAATGCACAGAATTTCTCTCCTTCCCCCACCCCATCTGTGTCCTTGTCGCACTCCGTGTGCGGCTCTGGGATTCTGGCCGTCCCCTTCCCTCTCCAACAAGGACGGGGAGTCCTGGGGACTGCGTGCGTCCTGTGTGCTCCTGCCGGGGTCGCACCTGCAGGACGCGGCTGCGCGGTCCGGCCGAGCGCGCACAAGGTGCCACGTGCACGAGGTGCCCCACGCACGGCCTCCCCGCGCTCCCTCCTTCCAGCGCGTTCTCCCTACCCAGAGGGCCCCGCCCCGTGTTGGCGGACACAGCCTGTCCTCGAGGGCCACCCGTGTCCTCTTGTCGGGTGACCCGCGGCAGGGCCCGTCCCCGGGGCGCGGGGGCCGGTGGCGCTGAGCCGCGCTTCTTTTCGGAAGCCCTCCCCAGAGCAGAGCGAGCGGGGCCGGCTTCGCGACCGGCGTCCTACGGAGGCGGCGGCCGAGAGCCTCGGGCTGGTCTGCAGGAGGGCAAGCCAGGAGGACATGGGCCTGGACGACACGGCGTCCCAGCAGAGCGCGTCTGACGAGCAGTGACGGCCGCGCCGGAAGGGGACCCAGCCACAGCCAGGGCTGTTCCCGAGCAGGGGACTGGCTTTATCTCAGGGTCATGAACATATCTCACACGATGGGGGGCGGGGGGGAACCCTAGCCGCCTCCCCCATGAGCTTTCCAGAATTCGTGTAATATCTTAAAACTGCTAGAGTAAGTAGAGCCCACGAATAACTCCTTTCTGCCCTGGTGCAAATGAGACAACTGCATGTTAAATGGCTGAAGTTTTATACAATCCTGTTATCATGAGGAAGAAACCAACAGCGGCTCGCATGACACCATCAGCGGGTCAAATGCATTAGGGTTCGGTCTAAGTGGAGAAAACCTCATTGCTTATAATATTTATGCAGATATTAAGCAAGCATAAATAGTACCAGCTTCACGACGAGGACGGTGACAGCGCATGCAGTCATGTCTAAAGTTGTCTGTGAATAGCCGGGATACATGGGATGTGAGTTTGGAAACTGAGTCCCCAGGTGGAAAGCCACCTGGGAGCCCCTGGCTGCTCCCCAACTCAGTCCCCACGACCCTGGCCACCCAGCACTCCCACACCCCACAGAACGCCTGCTTGTCTTACAGGTTGGGTGGCCCCTTCCTGGGCCACACAACACAAGTGAACACCTTTATTTTGGGAATTAAAATATTTCTAGTTATTGCTGTGTCCCTGTTGTCATTCCTATTGACAAGTGCCTGGCAGCGGCCAGCATGGAGCACAGCTGTCCACTCCCCTGGCACCCAGAAGTAAGAAACACAGAAAGAGCTGGTGACTGATTTGGGAAGAAAGGGCAGCGCAGATGGGAAGGCGAGCATGCCCTGGGCTCCCACAGCCATGCCCCTGGAGAGCTCCCGAGGTGCTCTTCAGCTGCTGGATCTGTTTATCACCTTCCCTAGTTCCTGTCTTCTTGGTGGATCCTCCTGGGAGATGGAGAGGGGAAAAAAATGTATAGTTTACCCACAACGGTCAGACTAAATTTCTCAGATGCAAATGCACCTCTGCGTTGTGCTTCTGACAGAGTCTGGTCATCTTGAGTACGCACAGACCCATCCACAGGCGCACGCCACAGAGGAAAGGTGCAGCATGGCAGTCTACCTTGGGATGCCTGGTGGCTGCCTGGCCAGCATCAATGCTGCAGCCCCGCTTTTTATTTTTATTGTGGTACACAACTTCTATATTTACAACCATGAGCTTGCTACTCTGGCCTTTCATCCAGCCAGCTGTTTATCAGAAAGCATCCCCTGCAAGGCTTTGCACTATAAGCCCCATTTAAAGGAGATATTCATTTCTGAGTTGACATTTCCTGCCTGAGCTGTTCAAATGTTCTGCCAGCATCTAGCTAAGGAGTTATTTCATCCAGCCAGCTGTTTATCAGAAAGCATCCCCTGCAAGGCTTTGCACTATAAGCCCCATTTAAAGGAGATATTCATTCCTGAGTTGACATTTCCTGCCTGAGCTGTTCAAATGTTCTGCCAGCATCTAGCTAAGGAGTTATTTTCTGCATTTAGATGAACAAAATGCTTTCTCCTCTAAAGATAACATAAAAACTGTAGCACTTGGTTTTTTATAGATCGTGTGGCTAATTTGGCATTATTGATTCTAAATTCTGCACCACGCGTTGAAACCATCTGTGTCTGGCAAGTCGTTTCCTAAAATCGCTCCACGCTCCAGCTTCTTTCCTGTAAAGTGTGCGCTGCAGAGCTGGCTCTCTCGGCCTCTGCTCTGTGCTGCCTCCACCTCGCCACTGACTCGTCCCACGTCATCAGGCTGCACAAGCATCTGCCACAAGCACACACAGGTGCAACTCTCCCAGACACAACCTGTGAACACTGAGACAGGAAGCAAGAGTAGACGTACCACGTTTCTGGGCCACTGCTGTCCCCGCTCCTGTGGTGACTTGGGGGCTGGGAACTGAGGGACAGGGACCTCTCCCTCCCTGCCAGCCATGGGAGTCAGAGACACAATACTCTGTCCATTTAAAGACTTGCCCACCTACCTGCATGTGCTTAATTACTCTTATTCTGCGGTAAAAGAAACCATTTTTAAACAGCTGTGCATTAAGTGGCTGGGGGTGTGATCTGCAAAGGGGAAGAGGAAAGGATGAGTCAGTAAATCACTGTCCAGATCAGTCTGCGTCCCTGCGTCCAGCCTTGCTCTTCTAGCTGAAATTCTTCATGTGAGCAATACGCTTGTCAATTGTGTGCTTTTCAAAGTGAAGTCCTCCTGAAGTCAAGACTCGCATCTATCCGTTAGATATCTTAATCTGTTTGAACTGGAGGCATTTCAAACTCAGGGATTCTCTCAGAAGAGACCCCCTGCCCCCCCACCCCATGCCCACCAGGCTCTGGGGCTCTGGTCCTGGCTCATGCCTGGGGTGGGGGGGTGGACGGGCCGCATGTGGCGTCCTGCCCCGGAGGCTTTCCTTCCCTTAAACCCCAGCAGGACGCTGTCTCCGCAGGCCATGCACGTCTGGCCTTGAGTCCTGGTTATTAGTGAATCCATGCATCTTCTCCTTCATTAAATCTCATTGCTTACGATGAAGGGATTGCATCTGACCTTTTCATACATGCTCCTGATCATTCTGTTTGACAAAGTAATACCAGACTCACAAAGGACCTTGCCACAGCAGACACTAGATGTTCTCTGGAGTCACAGCAGCTACAGTTTCATAGCTAAAGGTCAACTCTGAGGTCTGGGGAACTGCTACACTAGAAATGACAAAGACTAAACGAGGCCGCAGCAGGCACTGAGGGAAAGGGCGGTGGCTTCGGAGCCACGGGGACGTGGGTTCCAGTCCCACATCAGCCACTACGGGCACTGTGTTCTCGAGCTAGCCACGGAAACTCCGCGCTTGGCTCCTGGCTGTCAGAGAGCAGGTGGGCAGAAGCTCCTGGCACCCCAGTGAAACAAGGCCCAGAAAGGCTCAAAAATGCACCCACGTTGCCTCAGCCAAGCAGGGCCCCGAGGTGAGCGCACAGGCCCAGGCTGAGCCCCCGGCAGTGTCACGCTCCCCACACAAACACTCGCATGTCTGTGAGCATTAGATTCACTCTGTTTATTGAGCAACGAGCAAACAAATACACAGTAAGACCTTAGAAGGGAGAGCACCTAACATGGTTTTCTTTTGAAATACTAATTTCAAAAAATCAAATAACTGTCATCACTTTGTTTCCTGAGACTGAAACTGCACCTGGAGAGGAACTTAATTTTCATGACATGCAAAACTGATTGGGTAGTGAACGCTTCCCCTGCCCCCTGAACACATTTATATTCTAACCTTCAATGGGGGCGAATTCCATCTAATACTCTGCAAACCATTTCTGAAATCATTTCATAATTTACCCAATCGTGCGCACGACCTCATGAGAAAATAAACAGAAATTTTAGGCATAAACAAGCCACGATGGGTTGTTAATCTTGTGCGGTGGGTCCAGCATTAGGGCTAATCTGATCTTTTAAGAAGCTGATGGAAAACAGCTGGAAGCTTTGCTTGGCCCCAACCCACGAGGTTTCATAAACCTGAAAACATAAAAGCTGGGCAGCCATCCCCTCCCTCCTCCCCCCAGACGGGGCTCCCTGCTGGGGAGACACACAGTGTCACTGCCTGCCGCTCTGCACACACGTCACGATGTCTGGCAGGAGGTGGTTTCTGTTTTCCTTGGTGACCTGCGGGAGGAAGCGAGAGAACAGGCCTCAGAGCCCCCTTCTTTTTCTAAGGTCCCCAGGTAGCTCATTTTCTAACCGAAAAGCACAGGAGGCCAGGAGGGGGGAGGCATGTTTTGTGACCCAGGGGGAAGCCTGGATCTTTAGGAGCACTCTGGAGCAGGGCAGGCGTCACCAAGTCCCACCATCAGGCTCTGCAAGGTGACAGCTCAAGAGTGAAAGGGGTTTTCTTGCTGACGGCTTTCAGCTGCGGGGAGAGCTGTGAACTGAGCCCTGCGAGGCACAGCAGGGTGGACCGGGGGAGGAGATGGGGGGGGACCGGCCCCTGAGCACCAGCAGCCGGAACAGAGGAAGTGCCTGGGAGAAGCAAGAGCCCAGGGGGGCAGCGGTGGCCCGCAGGAGCCGCCAGGGCTCTGGGCTGCTCCCCAAGGCCAGGCATCTCCTCGTTCCTGCACGTGGAGAATCTGAGCATGCCAGGGGCCCCGGACCTCAGCCAGCCGCTCACTGGAGATGTGACAAAGCTGAGGCCCAGAGACCTGAGGGTGACATTTTGGACCTGACCAAGCCTCCTGACCCCCGTGTGTTTTCTGTGATTAATGCATCACAAGGTAACAGTTTATTCAAGTTCTTCCTGATAATCTGCTTTTTCTTTTCTTTTTTCCCACTACCACATGGTCCGGTCCCAATGAGAACAGCAAAACCCGGGCCCCACAGGGGGCTGGGTCAGAGTGGGGGCAGGGCTGCCCCTTCTGCTGCCACCACACACCTTCCTGCCTGGATGGGTGTCCAGGCTGAGCCCCTGCCCAGCTGAGACTGGCCCCCTAAGGAGCTGCTGGGGCTCATGGTGCTACAGCAGAGCCCGTGCCACCCCCACTCGGACAACACTCTCCAAATCTGGAGTAGATCTAAAAAGAAAAATTTAAACTGGAAAAGACACACTCTGGAAACACTTTCTCATGAAAAACTGATGAACCGAATGCAAACAGCACAATATGAACATTTAGTGCCTCTCTGATTTCCGAGGATTGTTTCTGAAACCGGTGCAGTAGGACGCTCACGTGAACGGTCTGCAGAGCTTGGCCATCAGGTTCCCAGCTCACCCCAGACAGAGCCTCCAGTGCAAGAGCGAGCAAGACCATCTGCCAGCCCCAGGGGTCCCTGCGGAACCCTGGTCTTTTTATTCAACCACCAGAATTCTGGTTGCAGAAAATCTGTGGAGGATACTAATATTAGTTAAGCACATGTATTTCACAGGGCCTTAACCTTTAGCCTAGTAGGGCCACAGCCCTTATGATTAGTAGGACCACAGTCCTTAGATCAGGCTGTAGACTAGTAGGACCAGAGTCCTCAGCTGTTAGAGGGGCCAAAGTCCTTTAGTTTCGGCCGTAGCATAGTGGGGCCACAGCCCTGTAGTTTTAGCAAGGCCAAAGCCTTGTAGCTTAGGAATAGCCTAACCTTTTAGAATTGCACATAGAAATGCTACGCTTGGGAAAAACCCGAAAACTTTCACAGGACTAAAAAGTCTCTGGTGTGGATATGAAAATTGTAACACAGCAAAAGTGCCTGCTCTAAGGGCAGATGCCTTTGGTGCAGCTAAACCTAATGATGGGAAAATATGTGAGCTAAAAGCTTCGAGGCTACTCTGCCAATCAGTGGTTGGTTCCACATTTTACCTCCAGCTGTTTCTTTAAGTTTCCTAGGAAACTCGGTGCTGCCATAACGATTATCTCATTGGTTCTTCTGTATGTCACACAGTTTAGTTTTATGACTCCTTTGATGGTAAATTGCTTGAACTATTTTTAAGTTGCACCTGCTTTATTGAAAACCGTTATGTAGCCAGTTTATGTTTTTACTATGACCGATTAACCACCTGTGTTCTTTTCTGTAACTTTCTTGCCTGGACAATAAAAACGGAGAGAAAACTTAGTTCGGGGTTATTTCCCAGGAATTCCTTCCCTCAAAGAAGGCGTCTCCTGGAATCAACTCCTTCTAGGACTCTCACTGCTCTGGAAAAATGGGCTTTGAGTAATCGTTTGCGTCTCTGTCACCCTGGGAGAGAGGTGACAAAAATCTCTCCTGAACAGAGAAGAGGAGACTGGGAGCTGGGGACAGAAACAGGAAATGAGGAAGACCGCAGGAGGGACCAGAGTCCTCGGAGCCTTAAGAGAAAGAAGGGAGCCAGGGACGCCTGAGCCCCGCTCTGCCTGGTGGCCCTGGCAAGGCTTTACCCTGGCACCTAACACAGTCATTCAACTCCAGGTGGAGGAGGGTCTTGGGAATACAGTCGAGTGGTTACAGAAAGGTTAGCAAGGCTCTGACATTAAGCATCCAAGGTCCTCTGTGCATCCAGGGACCGCAGAAGGGCCTTGGAGTGGACAGCCAATAACTTAGGCATCACAACACCCCAAACTGAGACCATGTGGATAAAGGAACATGCAGGGGAAACGCCTCTTAGTGTATAATTATGCTCAAGAAGCAAAACCAACCCACGGGCTCATGCATCTCCTTGACGCTGTGTGGGAAAGACCCTGAAAATCTCTAACAAGCAAAGGATTACAGAACAAACGGACGGTGCTTGTACCACGAATGAGCATGTGTCAAAAGTTACTGCTGGTCTCTTTGCGTTTCATGTTTTGTTTTTATTCATTTTATTGAAACTAAAAATAGGATTAGTCATGAAGCCAAATCTTCTAACTTCACTTTTTCTGGAAGACAAGTTTGAAGCCAATAGTGACTTTGCCAGTGGGGTTTTTGAGCCGCCAGTGCCCAGGTGTGTCACTATCTAGGTGGAAACACCACGTTTTCCTAGAGGAGGAGGACAGGTGAGACGGCTTCTCTGCTTGGGTCTCCTGCCTGCAGACGCATGTATGTGTGTGTAAAGTAGCTTTATTGATATATAATTCATAGACCACAAAGTCCACTCTCCTAAGGGTAGAACTCAGTGGTTTTTAGTATATCCAGAGTTTGCGAGCATCACCGCTAATACTAGAACATTCTCAGCCCACAAAGCAGCTGCCCACCCACAGTCCCTCTCTTTTCTCCCCTCCCCCTGCCTCTGGCAACAGCGACTCTACTTCCGTCTATAAATTTGCCTCTTGTGGACATTGTATCTAAATGGAATCATATGCGGTCTTCCCCGACTGGTTCTTTCAGGTAGCATTATGCGACATTAGTTCACCCATGTGTAGCGCGTAGCGTGTTTCACTCCTCACTGCTAGGTTATCTCCCACTGTATGCATGTGCTACGTTTGTCTGTCCACTCATCAGGTCATGGATATCGGAGTTGCTCCCGCATTCTGGCTATTATGAGGAACGCTGCTGTAAACATTCACGCGGGTTCCTGGCCAGTCTGCCTTTCTCTCCACCTTTCAGGTCTTCTTCTGTTTGCTCTATATAAGGTCCAAGGTGTCTGGCTGTAATTACTAGGAGAAATAAGAAGTGTGTCTATCCTGTCTTGTCTAGAACTGGAAGTGTTCTTGGAGTTTTTCTGAAAAGTAACTGATGGAGTTTGGATGTGTCCTCCCCTCCAAAACTCATGTGGAAATCTGATCTCCAATGTGGCAGTGCTGGAAACTGAGTCACGGGGGCGGATCCCTCATGAATGGATTAATGCTCTCCCTGGGGAAGGGGGAGTAATGAGTGAGTTCTCGCTCGATTAGTTCCCCCGAGAGCTGATTGTTTAAAGAACCCTGGCACCTCCTCTCTCTCTCTCTTGCTTCCTCTCGCCATGTGATCTGCTCGTACCCGCCAGCTGCTGCCACTTTCCGACACAAGGAAAAGCAGTCTGAGGCCCGTGCCAGATGCAGCTGTCCCAGAATCGTGAGCCAAATAAACCTCTTTCCTTCATAAATCACCCAGTTTCAGGTGTTCTGTTATAGCAACACAAAACGGACTAAAACAGTAACGTTCCGTCCACCTGGCACTGTGGAGAACAGTGAAGTCCAGGAGACACTGCTGACCTTGGGTGGCACCTCCCCCAGTCACGAGCTCATTCTACCTCCACACTACGCGTGCTGTCCTGGTAGCAAGGGGGGCTGCCCCATCCCCTGCAAAGCTTATCTCCTCCCTTCTTCCCGCATGTCCTCCTTCCAGAAACCACCCCAGAACCACTTTCCTTGGACACCTCTTCCCACTCTCTCTGCTCATATGATCTCTCCCTTCTCTGTCCCTAAATTTTGACAGTCCCATGGTCTATTTTCTTCAGGGAAGGGAACATGCCTCACATGTGCCTGTACTGTAAGTGCTGGATGCAAAGGACACTCTCAAAACTGCATTTGGACACTTTACTGCATGTTAGAAATAGACAGAACCCAAGACGGTATCTAATCCAACTCCTAAATTTGCAGATAAGGAAAATGAGATTCTTCAATTTATAAACGAGGAACAGAAGGACAACACAGACCCCAAAGCAGCACAGGAATGGCAGGGAGTGTCAGCCCTTCTCTCTTACATCATTAACTCAAAGCTAATCACTTTATTTACAGATCATTAGGAGCAATGATAACCTTGCCTGGAGAATAATTTCCAGTCTTAGAGGAGGAAATGTGGTATCATCTTAAGATACGACGCTGATTCTGGACGGAACAGGCAGCCCCTCTATCCCTCCCTCATGCTTGTAGATTAGTCTGCAGAGACAGCCAGTCCCTGGAGTTTAACGCTGGCCATTTCCCAGCCTTCCAGCCTGGAAGCTGTCTGACCTGAAGATTAACTTTCTCTTATGATCTTTCACCATCTATTGCCTCCATTTCCACTGAAACGCTAAAATTACAACCGAAACTCTAACGCGGAGGCCCTGTAAAGCAAGAGACTGAGAAGCCTACACAGAACTCTAAAGACAAGGGCCCGACACACTTTTCCAGGATGTCACCGAAGGCGTGACCTTTCCCGGCTCTAGGTCCCCTCCTTAGAGAGACCTTCCCTGACCGCCCCCTCTGCTCCGGCCCCCCTCTGCCCGCACCGCCCTGGTTTCTCTTCTTTGCTGCCAGTACCTGGATTGCTCGTCTGCTTCTGTTGTTGGGATCTGGCTGCTCCCCTAGGATGTCGGCTCCACTATGGCAAGGCCTTGGTCAGTCCTGTTCACCAGTGTCACTAAGATGTGGAGTGACGCCGACCACACAGGGGACGCTCAATCAGTACTTACCAAGTCAGCGAATGAATGAGCACGTGGAGGAAGGCACGAGTTTCCAAGTCTGGTTGGTCTAACCCTAATGGCTGTTTACAGCCACACCCCCGGCTACGTCCCACTAGGGCCGGTGGGCCATGAGACATTCCGGTTGGTGATGTAAGGTGCTCCTGGGCACTCTGCAGCTAGAGCGCACCCTCTAATCCCACTGACAGGGTGGCCCTGTCTACCTAGTTCACGTGACACTTGCAGGGCCAGGGAGCCTCCGGAGCCAGGGGAGGAGTGGAAAGGGGTAAGTGGGGCAAGACAACGCCTGACTGACAAGGGTACAAGGGTACAAGACGGTGGGGTCAGAACAGCCAGGATCTGGGCAGACTGCCAGCAGTGCCACAGGAGCCAGACGCTGCCGGGTCAGCACCCCCCCCACACACCCCCACCCCGGTCTCCCAGGGCTCTCCAGCAGCACCTCTCACACTGCAGGGCCTCAGAGCCACACAGGGCATCAGGTACATCCCCAGAGCTGCCCTGAGGCAGGGCCCAGTGATGCGTTCATCACAGCTCCAGGTGCCACCTATGGCCAGTCTGTGATCCTCAGAGTGGCCACACCCTACAGCTGCGCTGATATAGCAGCCACATGCGGCCACCGAGCCCCTGAAACATGGCCAGTGGGGCTCAGAAACGGCCTGTTTCATTTACATTTAATGCAAACCTAAATGGCCGCACGTGGCAGGGGCTCTGGTACTGGATGACGCACACGGCGTGTTTCTGCCCTGCAGGAGGGGCTGCTGGACAGAGCTACCCACAGCCTCGGGGACTCTGCAGCCGCTGTCCCCGCCTCTCCCCACCAGCAGGAGTGGGACAGCGTAAGAGGGAAGCCCTACAACAAAACCGAGCTTGTCGGCCTCTGATCCCACCCTGACCTGTCGACCTGGGAAGACAGAAGCTGACGACAAGCCAGCAGCTGCTCCAGCAACTCTGACGCACGAGGTCCTGGGCCAGGGGGAGGTGGGGAAGGTGGCAGCCAGAATGGGGGACGGCCAGTCTCCCCCTAAAGCCACTGTGCTTTTTCATCAAGTAGAAGTGCCATTTAAGTTCTACATGTTTCTGGGAAATCAGACTCATCTACATCCCAGCGTAGGAGGGAAGATGGTGACTCAAAGCCAGTGGTGAACCTTAGAGCCGCCTGCTGTCACGGTCGCCTGCTGCCTTTCACAGACACGGGAGGGGTGTACTCACGTGGAACAACTGCACGTCACTTCTGCTTCTGATTTCCTCCACGAGGGCCAGCAGCTTCCCTTTAGGGACGGGGATCGTGCCGAGGACCACAGTCCCAGGCGTGGACAGTGTGTGACGAACAGCGTGGATGAAGGGCTGGCTGAAGAGCTCCATCTTCCCAATCTCATCGACCACACACACTCTCCACCCCGGGCCGCTGCTGGCATCTGCCTGCGGATGATGAAGACGTTCACTGACACCAAGTCACGTTAGTCACAGGGCCCGGGGTCCCACCCCCAGCCACTGTCCCGCCAGCATCATGCCAGGGCGAGTCAACCACGCCTGGAAGTTGGGAGACTGTCCTCACCGTGCAGGCGGGGCGAGAACCGGGACTGACCTAGCAGCCGTCTGTGGGGACCACAGCACCCACGAACTTCAACTCCCTGGGCCACCCAGCTTTCCTCGGTTTTCCTCCTCAGGAACGGTCCCAGCACCAACCAAGCCTCATGTTTATATGCACCCAGGAGATACGTGGCCCCCAAACACCTCGGGTTTAGAAGAAATGAGACGGCGAGCCTGGGGCCATTAGCAGCAGCTCGGCCTCTGTTTAGTGATTTCGAGTCCTATGAGGCTCCCGCCGGCCGGGAGGAGTGAGTCACAGCCTGTGCGTTTCAGGCCCCCTCGCCCTGGGGGGGGCAGGTGGAAAGCAGCAAAGAGGAAAAGGAAAGGAGTTTGGGCTAAAAGAAACAGAGCAAGCAGTTGTGCCCTGGAGACCTCGGATCCCCATCTAAGACTTTGCTCCAATTCACGTTCATTCCTTCCTGGAAAATGCAACTGGGAACAGGCATGCAGCCAGCCTGCCCGAGTCCAGCGACCCCAGCTCCAGGACCGCACCCATCTAAGACTTTGCTCCAATTCACGTCCATTCCTTCCTGGAAAATGCAGCTGGGAACAGGCATGCAGCCAGCCTGCCCGAGTCCAGCGACCCCAGCTCCAGGACCGCACCCCTGCCCAGTCCCCTCCCACACAGCACAGGGCCGGCCTGTGGCAGCACCAGAATGTGGCACAAGCGGTGCCAGCCACTCCTGAGGGCAGGTAAAGACACCTGCTGGGGCTGTCTGGACCCCTGCTCTTGGGTCACTGGCTCTGGGGGAAGGGAGCTGCTAGGCTGTGAGGCCATGCGGGTGGCTAATGGCAAGGTGTGCGGTGACGCACCACGGCCCAAGGGACCGAGCCAGCCAGCAGCCTCCTGAGGGAGTTCAGAAGGGCCACTCCGGCAAGCCTCGGAGGTAACAGCCCCGGCCAACAGCTGGACGGTGACCTCACCAGAGCCCCCTGGCCAGGGCCACCCAGCAAGCTGCACCTGGATCCTGGACCCTTGAAACTGTGTGAAATGATAAATGTTTGTTATTTTAAGCTGCTAAATTTTGAGGTAATTTGTTACACAGCAACAGATGGCAGATACCCGTGTCCTCTCTAGAAAGCCCCCTAGAGAAGGCTGGTATGCCTGTGGTCCTTCCACGGGAGGGTCGCAGCAGGACACACAACAAACACTTCAGTGAACACTCAATGGCAAATACACTTTACATATTTTTGTATAAATATTTTAAAAACTGTATGTAAAGCTGATTTACAGAGCACTTTTCTCTGTAGTTCCTAGACTCCTTACCTATGACAGCAATGCAGGCCCACAGTGCATGTCTGAATTAAGCTAGATCTTTGCTCAAATTCCAAATGCCAGAGCTACCTGTGCGCCAGCACCAGTGGTGGCAGGGTGCGTGTGGCTGCCAGTGACAGGCTGAGGACCAGATCCTAAAGGCTTTGAATGGTGCACAGAGAGGTGGGGACCTCGTCCCACAGCTGAGAGTCTAAGCCAGGGAGGGTCAAAGCTGTGCTAGAAAGCTGGGCTGGCTGCGTGGGGTCAGGAAGACGCGTGCGGTGGGTTTGGGGAAGGACAGTGTGAGTGTGACAGAGTGGGGTCGTGGAGCACGTTTTTCAGACTCTGAAGCGCGTGGCACTCTTTCTATTTTCCTACTCGATGTCGCGTGCAGAGGAAATACTTCTCCACTCATTTTATTAGCAGAAAGACCAAGAAGGTGCCCACTGTCACTGCCCAAGAGAGGCCAAACACTCTCCAGACTTCCGTGACGCACTTCATTTCTACTGTCCCGTGGGTTTTTCTGTCACATGCCCGCCCCCCCAGCGCAGGGACGCAGTGGTCCTCAACTCCGCCCTTCCTGTGGGCTGACTGCCACCCGCGCTGACAAGTGGGACGTTGCCAGGGCCAGTGTGCCCTCCGCACCTGTGGACTGCTTATTACAAGGTTCCTCTTCAAAAGCCAATGCCAGGTATGGGAGAAGTAAACGGCTCTTGGCCACCTGTCTGTGGTGAGAGAGGGGCAGTCTGTCCTGCGGGCAGGGCTCTGTCTTCCTCCGGCTGGCCCACACTTGCCAAGGTGGGTCGGGCCCTCTGCTACCTCCAGAGGTGATGAAAATCGTGATGTCACCTTCCCAGAGGCTGCTGCCTGAAAGCTAAATGGAACCCAATTTTGGCACACCAAAATGCCAGCTTTAAAAGCACCAAACCAGAACAAGTAACAGCAGCACGAAAGGAGGCGCGTGCACGCATACGTAAGTGCACGTGGACGCAGGCAGTCGGCTGCGCGTGGCCGTGCGTGTGTGTATATGTGCACGTGTGCAGGTGGGCAGCACAGGCCCCGGACCCCCCGCTACCTTCTCAGCACACTCCCAGGGACCGCTCACCCCGCCCACGTTAAGTTTCAGCACAAACACATTCGCATATGCATGCATTACCTTCTACCAACTGGAAATACACACCTTACAACCTGGGCTTAAATAAAATCCTCATTCTGCCCAGAATTAGGGACTTTAAAAATCCAAGGGCTGTGGGAATCCCAAAAAGAAGTCTGTGATTTGTAATGAAAAATGCAAGTTATTCACATTCCACTGAGACGGACGTCAGACGCTGAGCCACTGAGAAGCCCGTGAACACCCAGCTTGCTTTCCTACGGCACAGAGACAAGCTCAACAGCTTAATAAAGAACCACCACTGTGATCTTCAAAATTGTTTTATTTCTATGTAAATTTGAGCAACTTCAGAGGGAAACTATAAATAGGTCAGTGAACCATCACTCGTACTCACTGTGATCTTCAAAATTGTTTTATTTCGATGTAAATTTGAGCAACTTCAGAGGGAAACTATAAATAGGTCAGTGAACCATCACTCGTACTGCTGACCTTGCTCCAAGTTCTGAAGACACAGAAGTGAGGGCACTGGGGCCCAGGTGTGAGGACGGTCACCAACTGGCCCTGCCTCCGTGTCCCAGCCTGGGGAGAGCAAGCACCAGCTCCCCGAGCAGCCCCACCTGCAACTGCTCAGCAGGAGCACATGAGACTGTGCCATGCGGGCATGATCCCTATGTCCATGCCACCCGGGGCATCCATGCCAGGTGGCATCATGTGTGAAGCTGCACTGTGGTCCTGTGTCACTGGCCACGGCCATCCTGACCACAACATCTCGGAGACTTACATTTCAGCTCATTGTAAATCTTCAGTCAGCAAGATGAGAAAAGCAGGTTTCTAGTTCCTCTGTTCCGAAAGAGATTTTCCTTGAAAGACAGACCTCAAATTGACCAGCCAGGGATGAGAGAAGTAATTTTGTGGCTTTGCTTGTGGGCAGCCAGTGTGCCTTCCAGAAAGACTTAGAGCAGAAAATACCACTTATAGCAGAGACTGAGAACAGCACACTTTTTTGAGTCCATTGTTTATCTTAATGTGTGTCTCTAATATAAATAAAACGTAACATAAAATAATTTCATTTAACCAAAATACTGAACTGAGAGCAAGCAAATTAAAGTGGTTTGCTGTTTTGAATTATTTGCATAATAAATATTTCTGGTGCTATTGAGGTTAATTTGTCTACACATCAGACACACAGACCGGCTTCTGAGCTGACCCGTCTGGGAGGCAAGCTCCTGGGCGTCTGTGGGAGGCCAGGTGGCACCACCGCAGTGTCCCCCCAAACAGCTAGGAGTTCTGGGGGGTGGAAAAGCCGATGGTGACAGCAGCCCCCACTCACCGGCCCAGTTCCTCACCCCTCTGAGTTACCAAGTAAAAATGCAGGGCTCCAGTCAGACTACAGGCCTTTGAGTTCCAGAATCCCTTTGCAGTCTGGTGGCATGTGGAGCGTGTGTCCCAGGGAGTGGCCAGGATGTGATATCTGGAGTGCCCAATACACTCTGCAGCCACCCATCCCCACGTGGGCACACTCTGGCAGAAGCTGCTCCCAAGGACGTGCCGGTAATCCCTACCCGGGCTCGAGCACACTATCCCTGAGGCTGCTCCTGGATGCCCCAAATAGACTCTCGGGGTTCACAACTTGATCGCCTGACCGAGAGCACCTGACAGTACCCCGGAGCTTTTGAAGCTGCAAGAACCACCCCAGGACTGAAGCAGCACCTGCTGCAGACAGCTGGCCCAGTGCAGAGGACAACCCACTGCTCCTGGAGACCTCAGTGCCTTGGGACCAGCCTGGATGTCGGGGCCGTGGACTCCACTATTGCCCTGCTCCCTGGAAAACACAACTCAGACTGCGATAGGAGGTCCCCCAGGGACCACCACCCATCAATTCATGCAGATCTCAAGGAAAAGGGTCAGAACCATCCCTCTGACTAGCACCTCCTCGGAGCCGGGGCAGAGAGACTTTGCAAGCCTTACTGCATCCCGTCCCCAAACAGCTTCACAGGTGTCAGCATTCCTATTTACCGACAAGGAATGAGGTCAGCTCAAGTGACCTCCCCCAAGTCACTGAGCACGCAGTGATGGAGCCAGAGTCAGACCTAACATCACCCAACCCTGAGCCCCTCCCATGCCCAGAGTGCAACACATCTGCACACCTGCATTCTGAATAAGAGAGGACTGTACAAGGCACCTGCACACTTGCATCCCGATAGGAGAGGACAATACAACACACCTGCCCAGCTGGATTCTGAATAAGAGAGAACTGTACAACGCACCTGCGCACCTGCGTTCTGAAGAAGAGAGGACTGTACAACGCACCTGCGCACCTGCGTTCTGAAGAAGAGAGGACTGTACAACGCACCTGCGCACCTGCGTTCTGAAGAAGAGAGGACTGTACAACGCACCTGCGCACCTGCGTTCTGAAGAAGAGAGGACTGTACAACGCACCTGCGCACCTGCGTTCTGAAGAAG